TGCGGCAGCTTCCATTGGAATGATTGACCTTTGGTTTCCACGGAGCAAATTTGGGTAGTCGCGTACAGAATCTAACAGCTCCTTAGCAATGTTAATGCGATGAGCAATTTTGGTACGAATTTTGCGGTCTCATGCCCAAATCATTCGTAAAAATCGAGTGGTAGGAGCCACTTAATGTGTTTAGGTCGTCAGAAACTTCTCTAACGGTGATTCGACGATTGACCAAAACTATTTTCTTCGCTTCATCAAGGTTTTCCACTTTTTGAACAAACCTCGTGCTTTCGATGTCCTTTAAAACCACATACATCATGTTGCTAAAGAAATATATGCGCGGTAGGAGAAAATTTACACCAAATTAANGGAACGCCTCAGAGCGAGGTAACGCCGCATGAGTCATGTTTTTTCGTGCGTGCAGCCGGCTCCATCGAATTATAAGACGTTGTTACGTCAAAAATATTGGTTACGCTCTTGTCAAAAAGTGCACGTAAAGTCGTAGGTTCGGCTTCAACAGAAATTGTATTTTTAAATATTATGAATTAAGGGGTTGTGAATTGCCACCGGAACCGAAGGTGAAGAAGTACCGTTCCTTCTTTCCGAAGCTTGTATACAACTGTTTGCCTCACCCCAATCGGTTTTTTCCTGTTTTCAGGCACGGGAAAGGGCAACATATCTTCCCAGGCAAGAAATCACATTTACCCACTATTTATTACGAAAATACTTTAAACTTCCCCCCGTATGGACATTGCCACCCAAACCAAAGGCGAGGGTGGAAACCATAACGCGGAGGATGATAAGACCCGTTCATAATGAGGAGTAGGTAAATGTGATTTCTTACCCGGGAGGGAATGTTGCGCTTTCGCCCTCAAAATCAGAGAAAAGTACCTTACGAGGTCTGATCAAAAAGTATCGCGAATTTTGTTTTTTCAAAAATTATTTATTTATCCACGAATATCTATTTTGTCCCCTTCAAAGTAATCTCTACCAGATATTATATACTTGTGCCAACGTTTTTTTTTTTTCAATCCTTGAAGCACTTCAAAAAATCATTTTTTGTGATCTTGTTCAGCTTCTCCTTCAATGACGTCTTTACCTCCTCAATCGTAGCGTAGCGTCCTCCTTTCATGGGCCTCTTCCGTTTCGGGAACAAGAAAAAGTTACAGGAGGACAGATCTGGGGAATACGGTGACTGCGGCATTATTAGTATATTGTTTTTGGCCAAAAATTCGCGCACAAGCAACGATGTGTGAGCAGGGCGTTATCATGGTGCAAAAGCAAAATCCGGGCGCTTCTGGCGGATTGCTTTTCGCAAATTGTGCATAACTTGCGGGTATTACCCTGTGGCAAAAACTTATGATGCACCACGCTCCTGCAATCGAAGAAAACTGTAAGCAAAACCTTCACATTCGATCTAACTT